TTTACATTTCTCATTTTTGACATTGACATTCACTCAGTTTAAGTCAGTTCCTTAATTATGTCACAGTCAAGTGAGCCTACTACTCAGGTAGAGGATAGTGTTAGGGAAAGTGAGAATCCTCATGGCCCTTCTAAAGATGAAGCAAGTGATGCTGAGCCTCAGCAGGAGGAAGCGCAGCAGCCCAGACGTGGTGAACGAATCCGCACATTAACAGAGAAGGGTCAGCAGCAATGCAAGATGAGAAAATTAAAGGACTTCAACAAAAGTTTGACTACATTTACAGAAAATGGAGAACACATGTTAAATGCTCTAAGCAGTCATTAACAAAGTCATCTCAGTTATCAGAGAGTGTGCTTAAGGATATCCTCGGAGATGTCGGAGGCCTTTCTGCTGATGTGCAGCGCATCTATGACGATCTGCGCAGAGTCTCAACGCCAGACCAAGACGTGCGGCGAAAGGTAGATCTGTGTGTAGAGGTTTCGAGCTTCATCCTTTCTAGAGCTTCAAGTCGCCTGGGTGGGAAGATTCCAGAAGAAGAAGAAGAGCAAGATTGGCCAGAAGCAGGCTCGCTTTGGAACTCAAGTAGAAGTGAATTTGACTTTGTCACCTCCATCTTGAAGGGTCCCTCAGAGCGGTCGAGAGCGTCTTCCGTAAAGCGCCAAGAAGCTGCCGCAGACGCTGCAGCAAGCCAAGCTGTTCTACAAGTGTTACAAGAACAAGAAAGAGAACAGTTGGAACTACAGTGCCTAGAAGCAGAGGCTAAAAGGAAGATAGCGGCTCAAGAGGCAGCGGCCATAAAGCGACGCTTAGAGAGAGAAGCAGAGGAAGCCAAAATGAAAGCTCAACTAGAGGAAGAGCACACAGCTCTACAGATAACATTAGAACAAAAACGAAGAAAGATAAAGCAATTAGAAGCAATAAAGGAGCTTAGTGCAGCACGTGCAAGAATGCAGGTGTATGATCAAGGTTTGGACATAAAAGAAGAACCTAAAGACATTTTATGCAGTGAGACTGTAGCAGATGTTAAGCCACCATGTCCTACAAATTATCTGCCCTCGTCTGTACCTTCTGCCCCACAACCTGCGATCAACTCCTCGAATCAGAGCACAGCAGAGCTCATAAAGGTACTCGCAGATGCTTTAAACAACAATAGAATTCCAGTTCCTGAGCCCTCAATATTCAGCGGTGATCCGTTGAAGTACAGTGATTGGAAGCTGTCGTTTAAAACTCTGATCGACCAAAAGAATATTCAAGACAAAGAGAAGATATACTATCTTCGCAAATATGTGAGCGGACAAGCCAAGAATGCACTGGATGGCTATTTCCTACTTGGAACCGAATCTGCTTATGCTGCAGCATGGGAGATTTTGGAGGAGAGATATGGAAACCCATTCACAGTTGCAAAGGCATACAGAGACAAACTTCAAGCATGGGCCAAGATTGGACCTAAAGACAGCTCTGAGCTAAGAGAGTTTGTTGATTTTCTCCGGAGCTGCGAAGCCGCCATGGTCCACGTTAAGGCACTGGAGATCCTGAATGACTGTAATGAAAACAGGAGGATTCTTACAAAGTTACCGGATTGGCTAACCACAAGATGGAACCGGAGAGTCATGGAAATGGAGGAGCAGAGTGGTCAGTTCCCCTCTTTCAGCCAATTCGTTAAGTTCCTGATAAGAGAAGTGAAAATAGCTTGTAACCCAGTTACATCACTACAAGCACTAAAGCAAGGTGAAACTGAAAAGCCAAAGCAACAAAGACAACAAAATGTTAAAGCAAAGACATTAACTACAACCTCTAATGAAGAGACTGTGAAAACGTGCGTCTTCTGTAAGAAGAATGGGCATACCTTGCACATATGCAGGAAGTTCGCAGAGAAAGACATTCGAGATAGAGTGAAGTTTGTGCAAGCTGAAAAGCTATGCTTTGGGTGCCTTAAGGCAGGTCATCTCTCAAAGAGCTGCAACAGCAGGAGTGTTTGTGATACATGCAACAAGCAGCATCCTACCTGTCTGCACGAGGAGAGAGACAAAGGAGAGCAAAAGGCACCACAAGTTAAGCAAAGCCAAGTTCAAGAGAAGTCACATAACCAAAATCAAGAAAAGAATAAAGCAAAACCTCAAACAGTGCAACCCAAAGACACCGCCACAGCTTCTACTCTACGAGTCATTCAGGATGAAGCTACTGTGCAAACAGCTGCAATAATTCCTGTCTGGCTATCGTCTGCCACTCAGCCAGCACAAGAGGTGCTTGTATACGCACTGTTAGATTCCCAAAGTGATACAACTTTTGTGCTCAGTGAAGTAGCTGATGCTTTGGAGGCAGACAAAGAACAAGTCAAGTTGAAGCTCTCTACTATGACGTCAAGAACTACAGTAGTTAATTCGAGTAATAGAGAAATAGAAGCTCTCTACTATGACGTCAAGAACTACAGTAGTTAGAATTACAAAAAGAATTACACGCGTAATTCTTACACGCGTGACTTTATTCCAGCCAACAAAACTCACATTCCGACTGGCGAAACTGCAAAGGCTTGGTCACACCTAGAGCACCTCCAAGAAGAAGTAGCCCCTCTGCAGGACTGTGAGGTAGGTCTGCTGATTGGCTACAACTGCTCAGAGGCGTTGCTCCCAAGAGAAATCTGGCCAAGAAAATCAGCCCTTTGCACAACGCACAGATCTCGGATGGAGTATTGTCGGCTATGGGAATCCCTGCGTAGAATATGGAGACGCAATTGGAATCAGTCACCGCATAGTAGTGAGGCAAGTAACGCCAAGAGTTGACTCTTCTCTCAATTTGAAGACAAAAGTTCATTATGTGAACAGATCCAAAGTCAAGGAAATTACCCCTTCAGACATTATCAAAGTCCTTGAATTAGACTTCTCAGAAAGAACCAGAGAAGAGGATCCTGTGTCTCAAGATGATCTCAAGTTCCTGTCCAAATTGAGACAAAGCATAAGACAGAAAGACGATGGTCACCTTGAAATGCCATTGCC